TTAGCTCTTTAATTAGCACTAGATATGAATAACCATTCATTTCTCCTGAATAGTCTTTGTTTTCTATTTTCCATTTTCTCTGGCAGCTATTTATCTATCTCCTTTACTCACCCATTCTCCTCTACCAGCCTTCTAAATTTTGTTGTTTCCTGTGGTTGAGTACTGAGTCCTCAGCTGTTCTCACTTCATACCATCTCCCCAGGTGATCACATCTATTTCCACATCTTCACATACCATCTATGTGCCATCAGTTACCTCCTTGATGTACTCCCTTCAAAGTTCCAAGAGCATTTCAATTGAGATATCCAAGTCTGCTCATCTTCCACTACACCCCATCTTCATATATGACATTTCCTTAGATCCAGCTGCTCATGCCACAGGTTCAGAATTGATATTTTCCTCACCCTTATTTTCACATCTAATTATTTATCAAATCCCATGTGTTATACTGGATCTCTCAGTTCTGTCCATTGCCCTCATCCCCACTGGCAGTACTTACTACAAGTTACCATCATTTCTGGACAAGGCTACTTACTGGAAGAGTTTTCTAACCTGTTTCTTTATGTCTACTCTTGCTTCGTGAGATCCTATTCTCCTCTTTTTAACTAATTTAAAAATAGTATGCAGAGGGCGCCTGGGTGGCTCAGTTGGTTAAGCAACTGCCTTCGGCTCAGGTCATGATCCTGGAGTCCCGGGATCGAGTCCTGCATCGGGCTACCTGCTCAGCAGGGAGTCTGCTTCTCCCTCTCCCACTCCCCCCTCTTGTGCTCTTTCTCTCTCTCACTCTCTCTCTCAAATAAATAAATAAAATCTTTAAAAAAAAATAGTATGCAGATCATGCAGCTTCCAGTGTAAACTTTCAATTATTTCTGATTACACTCAGAATATGCAACTCCCCACCACGACCTACTAGGCTTTGCACATTCTTGATTCTGTTACTTACACCTCCAAGCAACTCTCCCCTTTTAAAATGTTTCAACCATGATGGCCTTTACCCTGTTTCTCAGAGAAGCCAAACTCCTTACCACTTGGCACATGCAGTTCCCTGTGACTTAGAAAGATCTTTCTATGTCATTCAGGCTCATCTTAAAGTGAACCATCTTTTGATAGAGACTTCCCCTGATCCCTCAAACTATATATGGCATGCTATATATCTAGTATGTATCATATCATACAATTCATATAAAACCCCTATGAACTCGATATCATTTTACAGGTAAGGAAATCGAGGCTTAGGAAGGTTATTAAGATACTCCAAATCACAAAGTAAGAGAACTTTTTAAGAGAACATGGCTCTCTGATCTTGGAGCTTGGTCTCTTACTAACACACACACCACCTTTCCCGATGTAGTTAGTCCACTGAAGACAGGATATATTTTATGAACCACAGCTTCATTCACTTCATACAATTTTGTTCATCCACTAGTCTGTAAGCTTTCTGAGGGTAGAAGCTGTGATTATTGATCTCTAAACCTCCAGGGAGGTGATAGTCAAAGTTTGTGATGAAAGAGTCTAAAGAACAAAAGAGAGAGAGACAGAGACAGAGAGAGAGAACTCATCTCAAGGAAAAACAAATGCCTTTTTTATTCAAGACTTTAAATAAAATATTTAATCCCCAAAATAGCAGTGACATAAAAGCAGGGATAAATATTAAAGATTGGAACAGAAAAAGTCGATTTGGCAGCATGAGGGCATTGGTATTCTGTCACTAGTGGGGGTGACCAAAGCCATCAGAAATTACATCAGTGGGGGCATCTGGGTGGTTCAGTCGGTTAAGCGGCTGCCTTCAGCTCAGGTCATGATCCCAGGGTCCTGGGATGGAGCCCCACGTCCAGCTCCCTGCTCAGTGGAGAGCCTGCTTCTCCCTCTACCTCTGTCTGCCACTCTGCCTACCTGTGCTCTCTATCTCTGTTAAATAAATAAATAAATATCTTTTTTAAAAAAATTACATCAGTGCATAAAGAAGGTGACCATGACAAGCAAAATGGCACTTCTGCATCTATCTCTAACCATAGACAGATATGGAAATTTCCAACTCTGAATCCTTTACAAGTTATGAGCGATTGTCCTTATGAGATGAAGACATTAGAGAAAAGAAAACACAGTGATAGAACAATTCTGCAAAACATGGTTTGCAGTCACCAGTACCAACTAGCCTCTTCACTTTCTCAAAATTTAAAAACCCAAGGATGTTTCATAACTAAGATCTTCCCAACTTTACTCCCTCCCCCACCAGCAGTCCCAACTCCATTTATCCCCTACTTGCTCTGCAAAAAGATAGCAGGATTTCAAATCTCTTCCAACGTTTTAGTAAGTAAAGCTTGGCTGATCCTATCAAGATGACAAAAGTTCTGTGGCCAATGAAGGAAAAATAAAGATGAAAGATTGCTGAATGCACCCCGATTGCCTGATAAGAGAAGTCAATTATTTTATATCTGATGTTCTCATTTTTAGCTGGAAATTCTAGCCAGTGTTCCTTTCAGGAAAGGAAAATTTTTTTAAAACACCATTACTCCCCTGGAGGGAAAAAAAAAAAAAATTCTCCGAAGTTGTGAAATTAACCTCTTCCTTCATTCACACATTTGGTTCTATTTTTACAGTTGTAACAGTAATCTAAAAGAAAAAGCACTGAAAGTCAATTCCAGGTTTCTAAAATGTCTGACTGTGCACGACCCAGTTCTCTTCAGCACCTCCCAGAAGATTCAGTCAATCTTTATTTCGGCAGTGCATCAGTGTTTATCATTTGTTTTACAACAGGGCTGCATGTTCTTGAAAATTGATGCAGATGAATTTCACCCATCGTTTACAAAAACTCAAGAGAGACAAATGGCCTTAAAAACTAAATCCGCCAGTGAGGCATGGTTAATTTACTAAAAGAGCATTTCTTTTTTTTCCCTCCTGGTTCAATATTTACTCCCTTACAGTGGTAACCCCACCAGCCTCTTTATTTGTCAAGATTTCTGACAAATTTCCAGCTTATAATTAGGCATTATGAAAAATTCACTGTGGGAAATCTATTGCTAGACAAAAGCCTTTCCATTCAGTTTGCTTTAGAGGAACACTGATGACTTTCATCTTGGGAAGGCTAAGAGCAAAATCATGGATGCATTTTGACTGCATATGTATGAATAAACTGATTTCTTAGGAACAAATGCTCTAAGAAGTGATTAAGTCAGACTGATCTGAAACAAAATCCTGGCTGTCATTTATTAGCTGGGTAATCAAAGGCAAGTTGCTTCATCTCTCTGTGCCTCAGTTTCCTCATCCATAAAGTGAACACAGTAACACTAAATTTCGCGTAGGAATACTAGGGGTATTAAATGAGAAAACCACCCAGTGCCATGCCAGGCACATAGTAAATGCTCAGTCAGTAGCAGTCATTGGTATTTTTATTAATAACACAGAGAAAGAACAGAGTAGGGAAGGTCCTCGCCTCCCAACTTGTGGCCCATCTTCATAATTTCACCATCCTCATTTCTAATGAAAAAAGTATCTAGGCAGCTTGCAGCCCTGGAAGGCCAGGGCAAGCCTAGAGAGTTCTGTCTCTGAGAGAAAGGACAAGAGCTCAGATGTGAAGCAGCCTCCCAGGCCTAGAAGCATTGCCTACACCCAATGACAATACACCTCTTCTCAGGGATGAGAGGAGACCATGACTCTCCCCTCAAATTGACTTCTCCCTGCTCTATGAGCAGAGACAAATTTCTGTTCCCTCTTCCTCAAAGCAAGAGGATGGACAAGACAATTCTCTCTTTTCAGAGAGAATTAATTTGGAGCTGGTGGGTAAGAGCAAGAGTGGGGAATTTTCAGGAGGCCAAGAGCAAGTAAGATGTCTCCATGGACACTTTTCCTGGCCTCACATCATCAAATAATCAAAAGAAAACAATGATCAGCAAACAACCAGGTATGATCAGACACATGTTTAGCTTTCTGTCTAAACAGAGCTCATCCTTCCTATCACTCTAGTCATTTCAGCAAACAGTTGTGGAGCTAATATACAGAGAGCACTCTCTGTTCTCAGCACTTTGCCAAGTCTTTACATGCACGGATGGTCTCATTGTCTCCTATCCTCAAAAAAATCAATACTATCATTTATCTTCATTTTTCAGGTGAGAAACCAAGGTAGAGAAAGATAAGGAACTTCCTCAAAAACACTGGATTGCACGGAACCAAAATTTGACCCAAAGCAGTCTAGCCCCAGAGTCCACAATCTTCACTACTATCCTCTAATCCCATTCCCATTGGCCAAATAACTGGAAAGTTCAACTTGCTTTTTCTGACTCATAATTCAATTTTCTTAAATGATATTTCTCTAAAACTTGTATTACTGAACTGATGGGAGCCTTGAGGAGATTCTCGGCCTCTTTCATTTAATGTTCAGAATTGGCATATTTAAAATATTGCAACCCTACTTGACTAAAGTGGGGAGCATGCCACAGAGGTGTGCATGAAACAGCGTGGACCCTGAGTCCCTACCTCTTGAAGCTGTGTGACAGGGCATGGGCAATCTATGCACTGTGCACTCTACTTCTGCTTGTATTTGAGATTTTCCATAACAGAAAGTTAAAAGCAATACAAATTTAAACCACAGGCAAGATAACTGACGATCTTAAGCCATTTCAGGATCCAGAGGGACATTTGGGTTCAGTAACTCAATGACTCTACTGACAATTACAAAATCTAGATTGCAAGAACTCAGAGTCCAGGAACTTATCTATCAAAAATTATACTAGTACAAGAATCCTCCCTCCTGAGTGTTTTACTCTGACCTATGTGGGACAATGAAGATACTCTAAGAGTTGAATCCTCTGCCCACTCTCACATTTGCTGTTCCTGGAGCTCCTGCTGCTGATCGGAAAACCTTTTGCGTCCCCCTCCTCGTAGCAAGTTTATCTTTCCACAACCTACAAACTACAAAAGACTATTTGCATAATCAAACTTAAAAACTTCCACCCCTTTGTCATTTTTCCATTCTCCTGAAAGAGTAAAAGAAAGAAACTTACCCGTTCTGTTGTACATTCCCTCTTTGCCAATGTGTGCTGTGGTTTCGAAAACTAGCCCAGTCCTTCTGAACTTTTCTGTATCCGTTATAATATTAAAGAGCCACAAGGAAGGGAAGTGGTTAGTCAACTTGCTAATTTTATCAGTCCCTCCCACTGGTTAAGTAGTACCTGATGCTACAGACCCCAAATCAGTTTTCAAGCTCACTTCTCTGCTACAGCACGACTTTATAAAAACAGTCTAACTTGAGGGGAAAGAGAGTGACAATATCTAGTTCGTAGGCATGAGACAGTTAATGAATGAACATTTTATTACTATTAATAAGAAGCCTAACAGACTACAGAAACCAGCTATTTTACAAAATGAGGAGGAGGAAGAGAGAGAACGTCTGTCAGCTCCATACTCTAAGTACACTCTCAGCTGGGTGGGAAGGGGAGTGATTTTTTTAATGCAATCAGAGGACGTGTGGGAAGTAGCTGGTGTTTCATTTGTTGATAAATTTTCTGCCCTGGAATGGAGCCAGTTTACCGGATATAGAAACTTCCACAACTTGGGGCCCTGGCTCGGATGATTCTCTTCCTCTGGAGGTTAGCAATTAAAACATAGGACCAAGGAGCAGACGTGTGCCTCTGGATGAGGGAAAATTAAATAAATGCCTTCTGAAGGAGCTCTGACCTATTTTCTAGTTGTAAATGTCTGTAGTAAATGAAAAGAAAATATAGAACCTAAAGACAGATTTTAATGAAATAAAATAATTCTGATACGACGATCCAACTCCAAAAGGTTGCAATATACAAAACATGGTCACCCCAGAACTCTGCATCACACAATTTTCTGAGCTATTTCAATGTGGCATTTGAATTAAATCTGGAGTACTCACTTTGAAGTATATGTCCCACTGTATCAGGAAAAAGAATTTCTCAAAATCAAAACATTACTGAAGTTCACTCACCCTTGCCTTTGATTGGCTGGGAAAGTGAAAATTTCGGTCCCTTCAGAGAAATTCTAGCAGTCTTTATATAATCACATGTGGTGATGGTGTTGCAAAAAGAGTGAGATTTGGTAAACTAAGGCAAGCTAAGGAAGCTAGCAATTCATTACTATCACTTCTCCTTTCTTAGTATTCCCCCTACTCACCTAATCAAACAAGGAAAGGAAAAACTTTGGAGAGCTATTGAATATATTTTCCACCTCCGTAAGTTTGTTTTCTAACTAGAGCTAAGAAAACGTACTAGGCTGAAGTGAAATACCAGTCATGCCTTGTTCTGAGATGCCAGCTACAATTTCCTTGAAGAGCAACAACCGCACAGTTCTAAGCCCTCAAGGTCCTGTCTTCGTATCTAAGAGGAGGGGCAAAGACCTAAAATCAACATTTCACACCCATGACCCTCTCACTTACATCTGTAGCTTCTGTATCTTCAAGGAAGGAAGAGGAAAAGACACAGAGCTCTTGAGCTAAAAGAAGGGAAGGAAAAATGAAAAAGAATCACTCACTCCTTCTCAAAAAGGAGCCTCCCAGGTTTCTACATTCAGGTGAACTTTCTCAGCCTCTTCCAGAAGCCTTCCTCCTCCATTCAAACATACCAACTAGCCCCCCTCTAAAATCCTAGAGCATATTTCATCATCCTCTCAGTTTAACCATAGGTTATTTCTATGTACTATCTTTCTAGAAGACTGTAAGCCTAATCGGGAGTTAGATACATCCTTGATGCCCACCCAGAACATTAAGCACAAAGCCCCACCTTTAAACCAAGTGTTTTGCAATGCTCTTTTGCTAACCTAAAATGAAACTCATAGATTCTAAATCCAACCTCTATACAGTATATTTTTCAAAATCAATAAAGAGCTCCCACGCATGAATATTTACATGTCATAGAAGTCCTCCAATGCTTGCCCTACTATCCAGTGAGTAAATCCAGATTGAAGAGGTGTAATAAGAAGTCAGTCTTACAAGAAAGGTAGGCAAGTGAAAGACTGGACAGTTGAGTGCACATAAGAATAAAATCTAGTGATAAAACAAGAAACAATAAACCAGACTTACCAGCACATGATTAAGTAAAAGGAAAAATAAGATTAACTGAAGTCCAGATAACATGCTAAGGCAAATTACAGACCACAGACATAAAGAAAACATGAAAAATGATTAATATTCTCTTGCAGGAGCTGAGAACTTTTCCTTATTCATAAAAGATTTTAAAGGAGCATGAACTTTCTTTTTTTCAATACTGAACAAGGAAGCTACAAATGCATACTGATAGAGCTGTGTATGTTGGTTAAAACACCATGAGCCGTGTTGTTGTCAGTGACGTGATTTTCCAAACGGTGAACGATTCATCATAGAGCTTCTAATAATACAATGTGAAATTATATGATAGTTGTAGTCCTAGAAAATTCTGTATACACTAAAATGGAATAAAACAGTTTTTATATGTGCAGCAGATTTTGTTTTTAGGCTCAAATAATTATAAACAGGTGTTTCACCCACTATCCAAAGAAATAACTGAAATGCATGACACAAGAAAAATTTTTCCAGGTGTAGCAATGTCCCTCACATTACAAAACCCTCACATCCACGAGACTGGTCCACTAAATAACTAGAAGCTCCGTGAACATTGTGGCATCCAAAAAACATTCCCACAAGTTTCCAATCCTTGCCTCAGAGACCAGGACAACCTCATTAAAAACCACTACCCTGGGGTGCCTGGGTGGCTCAGTCGTTAAGCGCCTGCCTTCGGCTCAGGTCATGATTCCAGGGTCCTGGGATCGAGCCCCGCATCAGGCTCCCTGCTCGGCGGGAAGCCTGCTTCTCCCTCTCCCACTCCCCCTGCTTGTGTTCCCTCTCTAGCTCTCTCTGTCAAATTAAAAAAAAAAAAATCTTAAAAAAAAAAAAAAAAAACCACTACCCTAAATAATCCACTACTCTTGGCAAACTCAGCTGCTTCAGAAGTCAGGCAGGAACATCAAGAAGTAAGGAAAGCAGGAAAGGATTACATTAAATGAAGAGCACAAGCCTCAGCTAACGTGGGCTACCATCAGCCCTATCCACTGTGACCCACAGATTATGAGTAGTACAGAGCCTTCCATCTTTCAAGAGAAAGTAGACATCTACATTTTTTTTTTTTTTTTAGATTTTATTTATTTATTTGACAGAGAGAGAGGGAGAGCACAAGCAGGCAGAGGGAGAGGGAGAAGCAGACTCCCCACCAAGCAGGGAGCCCAATGCAGGACTGGATGCCAGAACCTTAAGACCACAACCTGAACCAGAGGCAGACGCTTAACCGACTGAGCCACCAGGTGCCCCTAGACATCTAGATTTCTATGTGAAATTTCATTTCAAAAGATTTGTAACACTCTTAGGATCATACACAAATTTTCTGCAGGCTAACATGATCTCTAACACGAACTACTTGGTCAATTAAATAAAACAGCAACATTCATAAAATTTGTAATGTCAAGATATTTAATGTAACAAGCAGGTTACATTAAGCAAGCACTTTGACCTCATTTTGTAAAAACAATTATATATGAATTATATAGGATCAACTCTGGAGTATCTGCCAACATGTTAACAGGAATTCTCTACTGATATATATGTGTGTGTGTGTATGTGTGTGTGTGTATTATTTCTTTTCCTTTTTAGTTTTCAGTATTTTCTATTTTTTTCTAAAATGAACACATAAGGTTTTACAATAAAAAATAAGCAATAGAAAGTTTACTTAGTTTTAAAACATTAGAAGACAGTAGCTATGAAAAGTTCTTTAAACACAGTCAGAAAGGACCACAGTTACAATGTACAAACAAATGAAATTCCTCTCAAATACTAAATTCTGCTCCATATAAAACACTGGCTAAAGACCAGATATAAAAATTAAGCTGTCTGAAAATCAGAAAAAGGATGTACCCACATAATAGGATTCATTACCTTGTGTCCCAGATAATCAGACATTATTTTATCTCCTTATTAGACAGCCAGAGCCCACACAAGCCAGATCTAAGACTGAATGCGTGACAAAGAAAGCACTCAAATAACTGTCGATTAAAAAACATCTAGGGCTTTCAAAAAGTAAAAAAAAAAAATAAATTTCCCCATGAGCTAAACAATAATAATAATAATAATAATGTTAACCTTTAAAATGAAGGTGCCTTAATAATTTAATTACCTTTTTCCTATTTACAAAATTAGGATTAGAAGCTAAGTCATGTTTGAATACAATAAAATTATTTTATTAACTCCTTATAAGGCTTAAGAAATACTTTATAAAACCCCTCTTCTCGGGCAGCTGGGTGGCTCAGCCAGTTAGGAGTCTGACTCTTGGTTTCAGCTCAGGCTCTGCACTCAGCAGAGTCTGCTTGTCTCTCTCCCTCTGATCCTCCCCCTAACTCTCTCTCTCTCTCTGGAATAAATAAGTAAAATTTTTTTTAAAAGTCTTCTTTATAAGCCAGTTTTATCCCTCAGTCTGTTGAAGATGTGGACCATATTTTACTCCTATAAAAGCTTATTTTCTCCCAAATTGGAAATGTTTCAAAGCTGATCCTCTTGGGGACCAAACATGACATCCTCGAGGAATAAGCTAAGATCTTGAAAAGTCATACATAAGAAGACCATTTAAAATGCCCAGGTATACACACTAAAACTTCTGCAATCACTACTGATTCGGGGGGAATTTATAAAAATGTTCCACCAGGCTGTATAGAAAGGAACTTTTAGAATCATAGAAATTAGTGTGGAAATGATGATATGGATTTCTGGAAATGTTACTTTTTCTTGTTAGAGAGTACAGTCATGCCAGTGCTTACTCTAAAAGGAAATTCACCCTTTCTCCAGTCTTAAGCTATATGCTGACTAGAGCTTCAGTCCTTAAATACGTTTTCAAGTTTATTCATTTCCATTCTGCAGAACCAGGAGATTATACAGTTTGTGAACTAAAACTTTCCTTTCAATTATGTCTTTCAATTTTGATGACAAAAGCAGATGTTTGCAGGTTTGAAAGTTTCTAGTTTGACATTGTTGGGGAACCCAGGATAAATGCAACAAAGTTACCACTTGCCCAGTATAAAAGGTGATATGAAAATCTCAGCATGTCTTTCTGAGGAAAGCATCCCAGATGTAGTCTCTTTAAAAATGCTTGAAGCATTTGACTAAATTTGCTGCTAATGTGATTATTTTTAGCCAAGATCTTGCTTATGGACATATATTCAAATAAAATTTTTTAAACTGCCATTGAATACAACGTATTTTTATGTTGCTAGGAGGGTGTGTGTATGTGTGTGTGCATGTGTGTGTATTCCTCAGTAAAAATGACACACAGTATTCAACTTCACTAGTTATCAAATAAATGCAGATTGTGAAAGATTAACATTTTTACTTTCCGTTGAGGCTAATATAAGATGATGATAAGCATATGATGTGAAGAGTACTCTCATATACTACTGATAGGAATGTAAGCTGGTACACCTTTCCTGGAGAAAAAAATTGTCACAGTATATCAAGAATCTTTAAAAGTTCATGCTCTTTGGGAGTGACTCTATTTCTAGGAATCATTTCTAAAGGAAAAAAAAATAAAATGTGAAATGGTGATTTATGTAAATGAATTTCCATTACACTGTTATTTTAAGATGTTGTTGAACACCTGCAAATTGTCTATATGCCCAATATAAGGGGAATAATAAAAGAAATTATGGCATAATTACATGACAGATTATAATACAAATTCTACAAATCATGATATTGAAAATATTTAATGATGCTGAAAAACATTTATAATACAATATTAGGTAAAAAAGATATGGATGTATTATTATCCCCATCTTGGAACACAAACTTACTCCACTCACAACCTTATACCTTACACATAAAATGTATCCACATATTCAATAGAAAAAGACTAAAAGCCCAGAATGTGAAGAATAATTCTCTCTGAATGGTATAACTGTAGATAAATTTTATATTCTTCTTTTTGCCTTTTCTTTTTGACCAAGTTTTCTACTTTGAGCATCAGGAAAAAAATATTTCATAAATCTGAAGACATCAAAAAATTGTACAGCACTTTTCATGAATATCAGAATCTTCTCCATTATCACAGCACCCTTTACTTGGTCTTTTGGCTTCAAAAGCATATTTTATTGTTACTTTGGCTTTGTGGATTTCTCATTTTATTCCTTGATAAAGTGAAGCTTGCCTGGCAACTCAAACAATTTAGGGTGAAATCAACCTTATGTTAATGTGTTATGTTATGTTAATGTGTCAGCTGGTCATCTTAGTTACTCCACAAGATTCAATTGCTCTTACAAACAGACTGCTAAAATCTACATCCAATTTATTGCAAAATGAATAAGCAAATTTTTACCTGGGACAATAGTAACAGTGAGTGTTGAATTTAAATCAAGTGAATGAGAAAGAAATCCATCTTTATCTAGTCTCCATAATACCAAACACATGAAAATTTTAACTCATTTAATTATCTCAATAATCCTGAGGGTTAAGTTTTCTTCCAACTATTTTACAGATGAGGAGACTAATTTTCCCAAAGACTAGGTAAACTGACCAAGGTCTCATATTTAGTAAATGGAGGACTAGAACTGACTACAGATAATTCTGACTACAAAACCAATGTCTAGAATATAAAAAGAGGGTTTTTGTTTTGTTTTGGTCTTTTTTTTTTTTTTTTTGGAATCCAGATAGTTCACCTGTGGTGGTCTTAAAATTACAGACAACTTAAAAACAAAATTTTCGAAAATTATGAAATAAATTAGATTCCGAATGAGAACAAAACATGCTTTTCTTCTCCGCAGTTACTATGATGGAAGATGAAATAACAGAGAATTGGGAAGAAAAAAAACCCCACACAATTGAGTATATAATTGAGGTCATGTTTTCTGAGCCAAAAATCAGAATAAATGACATAGAAATGGTCCCAGAGTCTCATGCTTCTTCATGTAGCCATCATTTGTCCACCGTTTAATGGGGATAAAAAAGGTTTAAATTGGCATCTTGCATATTATTTGTAAATACTAAATAAAATTCATTTTTTAATTTAAAGGGAAAGTTTTAACTACTATACAAGTAATATAGCATCAAATCAAATAATAGAAAAAATATATGAGGACGGAAGTAAAAACTGCCTCATCATCCACACTACAAAAATAGCCATTGTTGATGTGGTAATCTCCCAGACTTCTTTCTATTCACATACAAAACAGGATAGTAGCACTTAAAAATGAAGGCTGGTTAAATTGGTCAAGTGGTATAGTTAGTGACATGAGACAGGTTTGAACAGACATGTGTCCACCTCCCACAGGAGTGTTTTTTCTACCTCTCATTTTGCCTAGGATAGGGGAATGGGTGGAATACTCCACAAACACAGAAACTGAAGGGGGCACTGCTTTGTCTGTTTTTCATACTTTTCTAAAATCCAAAGTCTTAGATGGTTGCTTCTGCCATTTACTACTATTTCCCTTTGAACAAATCATTGAATTTCCTCAGGCTGAATGTTCCCACCTATAAATAATGATATTAATTTCCAAGAGTTCTGAAAGAGTCAATGACTCAGTAACTAAATGGAATTAAATTTTAGTACTTAAAAATCTCTGTTTTACAACAACACAACACTCAGCATAAAAATGCAATGCTAACCTTTAGAATTTTAAATGAATTAATTAAGATACCATTCGGGCCATGTGTACTGAGACAACCCATTCTGCAAAGAGGAATGATAATCAGTTCAAGAAATAATAGCCCGCTGTTACACTTTCTGCGACATAAACTTGGTATTCCACCAAGTTTAAAAATAAATCTTTCACTCACCTTTAATTTACTCTCTCTCTTTACATTATTACTATGCCCTACTATGGAA